TTCATCTAACTAGTCAGTTTGGTGGTACCAGTGGTGCTGTTACTTTAGGTACCGTTCAGACTGCAGTTGGTGCCGAGTTGGTTGCTCCTGTGCATTGTTATGATGTGACTAGTATGGTTAATGTGAACAACGGTACTGTTGTTAATCCCGATATCAGGCTTAGGTTGAAGTTTTCTAATGAGACTGATGGTGCTACGGCTTCCTTTGATTCTTTTTCTACTCTTACTGTTGAGAGTGCTCCAAATAGTTTGAATTCTTTGGATACGTTCCCTGGTGGTCGGAGTATGTTGAAATGGGTTAGTGCTAAGTTTTTGTTTTATGCTCCGACGACTTATCCAACTAGGATTAGTATAGAGCTATGTCGTTTTACTAGTCAGGATATAGTGCCTAATTATCCAGTTAATACTGTTGTTGGCGATTTGCGTACTGCTTTTTGGCAGTATTATTCGAAGAAGTGTGTTTATAATCCCATCGAGCCGTTGGATACGTCGATGCGTCGTCACATTCGTGTGTTGAAGCGGGTGGTCTTTAGTATGGATCCTAAGGAGACAACTGAGACTGTAAATACTCGTTTCAAGGAAGTTAATTTCTTCTGTCGTCTCAATAAGGTTTGTTTGTATGCTTGGAATAAGAAAGACCGTGTGAATATGTTGACTTCTGATAATGCTGTCACTCCTGGTGTTAACGATACATCGGTACACCCGTTGAGTCGGTTGTTTATTGTTGTTCGTGGCCTGGCTGTAAAAGGTACAGCCTTTAGTACGGCCATCCATCCATCCTATGATTGTGTGATGAGAATGTGTCATCAGAATTTGTCGTAATTGTAACTATTATTGGATTCAAAAATGGTCTCGTCTCCCTGGAGTGTTTAGCCGCACGAGACTACCTTATACCTTATAGTCTCGTGCTAACAAGCTAAACATCCTAAACATCACTACAATGGCACTTAAGATTGCACTCCGGATTGATAGGGATTTGGATTCTGTTAAACTTTTCTTGGATCGGTGCAGCGGGTTCGGAGTCCGCGAGGTTGCGGGTTCCAATGAGCATTGGCATTTTTTAGTGGAGACTGATTCTTATCGGAACATTCAGAGCTTTAGGGTAGCATTGACTCGGAAGATTCCCACTCTGAAGGGAAATGCTTGTTATAGTGCTACGGTCGTTAGCGATTTGGAGAAGTACGAGAGATATTTGGCGAAGGGTGAAAGCGAGGGAGCTGGTCCTGAGGTTGTTTGGCGGCATTCTTTGAAGTATACAGATGAGAAAATTGAAGAGCTTCATATTGGATATTGGACTGAGAATAAGCGTCTTCGTAAGCGGAAAGCTGGTTCCGTTATCGATGCAGTCATCGATATCGCGAAGGACGAGAACGTTCATTGGGAACGTCGGGAGAAGCTGGCCGAGCTGTATTTGAAAGAGGTGGTGTCTCGGAATCGTCCTGTGAACATTTTCGCGGCAAGGAGTGCCGTGAATACGATCCAGATCCAACTTTGTCCGGATGACACTGCTATAAAACGGTTCTCTGAGATGATTTGAGGTAAGTAGCAAGATGGCGTCTCCTATCTATACTTACAACTACGTGTTTGCTGGTCCTCTTGATGTTCGTGATTATCTAGACTTGCCGCGGTCTGATAAGCGTGCAGTGTGTGCGATGGCTTCCCAAATGAATCCCATTCAGTATAGTTTCATTTACGGTTTTGAGCCATGGAGAGCGAACTCGTTGATGCGGTACTTGATTTTTGAGGCCGCTAGATATCGGTTTGCCCGTGGATGGTTTGTTTTCTCGACCTTGTTTCCAGAGCTTCCGGATATCGTTGATATGACCAGAGAGATTGCAGATTTGACTAATGCTGATGGACCACGGATTTGCCATCAGTGTGCACTGTCTGATGAGCTCTGCTTGTGCGGCCTCCCGCGTAATTTGGCGCCTGCATTCGATGCTGTTGCTGGAAATGCTCGGCGCCGTCAGAATGGTCGTCGTCGTCGGCGTGACTCTGCGTGACCTGGTGAGTATCCTGCGAATTGTGCTGCGGTGACTGCGTGTTGTGTGCGGTGGAAGCGGAGAAGTCTGCGTGGGGGGGAAGCGGTTCTGCGTTGTGAGAGGCGGTTAGGATTCGGGATACTTTATTAATGTGAGCGAACTGTACGACTGTGGAGTAAGGAGCGACTATAAATGCTGACTTTCTTTATCTGTTTTTTTTATCAATTCGCAGGTTCCTGGTACTCATAATGAAGCGTCGTTATGGAGCTGTCGTCCGTGCTGGCGTATCTGCTGCTGCTGCTATGTTGGCCCGGAATAGATGGCGGAAGTCTGGCAAGAGTGGTATATCCAAGCGTCCTGCTGTTCGGAGTCGTTATCTTATGCGGAATGGTCGTTCTCGTACTAGGACTCGCACTAAGAGGCGGTCGAGGACACAAGAGGACACTGGAGCTGACTTGAGTCGTTTGAGTGCTAGCTTTGGTCATCGTATGCATCCTAATCTTCGTTTTGTTTTTAAGACGCTTAGGGCTGCTACCGAGAAGACGATAGTTGGTATTCATCTAACTAGTCAGTTTGGTGGTACCAGTGGTGCTGTTACTTTAGGTACCGTTCAGACTGCAGTTGGTGCCGAGTTGGTTGCTCCTGTGCATTGTTATGATGTGACTAGTATGGTTAATGTGAACAACGGTACTGTTGTTAATCCCGATATCAGGCTTAGGTTGAAGTTTTCTAATGAGACTGATGGTGCTACGGCTTCCTTTGATTCTTTTTCTACTCTTACTGTTGAGAGTGCTCCAAATAGTTTGAATTCTTTGGATACGTTCCCTGGTGGTCGGAGTATGTTGAAATGGGTTAGTGCTAAGTTTTTGTTTTATGCTCCGACGACTTATCCAACTAGGATTAGTATAGAGCTATGTCGTTTTACTAGTCAGGATATAGTGCCTAATTATCCAGTTAATACTGTTGTTGGCGATTTGCATACTGCTTTTTGGCAGTATTATTCGAAGAAGTGTGTTTATAATCCCATCGAGCCGTTGGATACGTCGATGCGTCGTCACATTCGTGTGTTGAAGCGGGTGGTCTTTAGTATGGATCCTAAGGAGACAACTGAGACTGTAAATACTCGTTTCAAGGAAGTTAATTTCTTCTGTCGTCTCAATAAGGTTTGTTTGTATGCTTGGAATAAGAAAGACCGTGTGAATATGTTGACTTCTGATAATGCTGTCACTCCTGGTGTTAACGATACATCGGTACACCCGTTGAGTCGGTTGTTTATTGTTGTTCGTGGCCTG